CTGCTCTACTCACGCTGCCATCCTGGCTCCGCCCCCCTCCTGTTGTACACTTTTCCTATTGAAGGTCAAAATGAAGAAGAGAGCCTAATGGAAAAAAATGGGTGAAAAGACAGTGTAGCATGCAGTGTTACCTTGGAAATGCACATTGAATCCTGCTTTCCTGTCCCCATGGGTCTGCTCATCACATGCCCCTCTACCTGAGAAGCCCCACCCTGGCTACTCCTGGGTATCTGTGGTTACATTAGAAGCCAGACAGCTTTCCCCCTGGGCCAGGAATCACAGCAATTCCAGGAAATCCTGCCGCCTTAGAATTACTCCAATGGTGGACTTAATTCAGATTTGTTATGTTGTTGTTTAGCACTGTCTCAGCATAATTTGGAAATTTACATCATACTAAGGAACTCCCTCATGCAGTGGGTAAATTGCTTGTTCTCGTAAATTTGAGTGCAAATTAACTCTGGATGTGCATTTACTGGCTCATTTAACAGATTCTTACAGTGGCTCTGTTTCATGGTAATGTTCTCTGCTCATTTCCACATTAGGGTTCTTTTTCTATAGTAGATGCTGTAAATACTAACTGTGAACTTGAAATGAACAGATTCCTGTTCAAACCATTAACCTACTGGGTTTCTCTTTGTTATTGTTTCTCTATTAAAGAATCGGGTGATAGGATTTCATATTCTTGGGCCCAGTGCCGGTGAAGTCACCCAGGGATTTGCAGCTGCAATGAAGTGTGGGCTCACAAAGCAGTTACTGGATGACACAATTGGAATTCACCCCACCTGTGGTGAGGTACGGAAGCAGGAGGGTTGGATTTTTTGTTTTTAACTGATTTCACTCAGTGTAGTTTGAAAAACTATTACAAAATACATTGTCAAAAAGATTTTTATTAGTAACTGCTATGTGTACTGTAGAGGACAATATAGATCTAATATTCAGAACCTATTTTCATGAAGCAATACTGAAATACTGCTGGTTACATTTGCTTGGTTTTCTTCTGGACAGATACTCACCAGTTTGGATATCACGAAGGCGTCGGGACGCGACATCACCCAGAAGGGCTGCTGAGGCTAGACCTGCTGCTGGCTGGTTCTCCTTGTCATATTCCCATTTCTTTCACGAGCACTTTCGGATAAAGTGGGTCTGTGCTCTTGGCACCTGCTCTGTTTTGTGGGAACCAGTGTGGACCTTTCTTTACAGCACGAAGACAACGTGGACAAGGAGGCAGGACAGCAGCAGGCATGTAGGCATGTGCTCAGCAGGCTCGGTGGGCTGGAAGAGGCAGCGACACTGCCTCCTTGACGTCTGAGCTCGGAACCCCATTGTGAGGTGAGCTAAGACTGACGCTCTTCCAAATCAGAGCTGAGCTTCTCTCTGAAAGACCTTTGAATCGCACAGTTAATCTAAGTAACTCTTCTGGTTGCTAGTGTTTTTATCCTCTTGCTTTGTTGTTTCTGTGAAAATATACTGTCAGTTAGGAAATGGACTATAAAACAGTCTTAGAGTGTGCGGGCCTGGAATCCACACATGGCTGCTGGTGAGAGGTGTTGTGGCAGTGCCCTAGAGTAGCTGCTGCAGAGGACTGGGTGTGTGAGGAAGTCGCACATGCTCTGTAGTCTACCGGCTGTTCCTCCTTTAAGTACACATTTGCCCACTGTCAGACACCCGCCTTGGCCACGCCCTGTCCCGGTTTCCCATGGTGACGACCTTGGAGTCCCTTCTCTTATCAGTGTGCCCCAAACTGAGCAGATTGTCTCATGTCAGAGAGAAATGCTTGAATTTCTTTTTCGTGTTGATTCTAACAGGAATATTAAAAGTTTTCAATACTGTTATTATTTGAAATTTCACTAATTTGAAACTGTTTAAAATGATTCAGTCCACTACTGTTTAATTGTAGTGAAGTTCAGTAAATGAACAGTTGCTATTATGAGATCCCAGTTGAATTTGTACCCCTGGCACAGTCTAAAAGGCCTTCGAAGTGGGAGGCCTAGCCAAGGTCCTTCTGGGAAACCTCTTGTTTCCTTGGGGAGCACACCACAGAGCAGCCTGACCCAAGGCTCTCAGATAGCCACTGCGCTCCTGAGCAGCACACGAGCCATCACCCAGTGCCATAGGATTGGATGGTTCTGCGGTCAGAATTTTGGACATACCTTTTTAAAAGAAAAATTTTAGCCAATAAACAATTGGTGAACACCTTCTGTAGATGGGGCATTTTGCTCCCCTCTCTGGAGGCAGGAGTGGAACACAGCTAGAGGTGGGTGGGGGACCCCAAGATGACTGACAAAGGATCCAGTTTTTTAATTGCTATGTTATTGGGGAAAGTAAAATACAAATGTAACTCTCTGAAAAGTAAGGCAGGGTGTATTAGTTGCTATAACTGAGGTAGTAAGAGCACAGTGGGAAACAAAGATACTAATTTCCATGGGAATGGGGATAGGGTTGGGATAGCTGATCTGAGTTTAGTGGAAGCAGTTACATTTGAACTGAATCTTGAGGGACAAATAGGATTTCAATGATTTGAAACATTATGGAGAGGCTCTGAATGATGCTTTCAGAGGATTCAACTAAAATACTAGATAAAAATAGTTTTTAAAATCTCTTTTTGTTACCATATTGCTGAGCACCACATGGACACACAGAATCAATGGTTTCCAGAAACCCTAATGAAGTGAAACCAGGAACCGTGGAAGTCTTGAGAGCTTCTGTTTTTGTACTGAGCATAGAGCGAAAACCTAAAGCCCAGGATTGCCTGGGTAGAATTTCAGGTCGGAAACCTTTTTATAAAACTGGGGCCTTAATGAGCTGTACCCCCAGTAGAGAGTGAGTGAAAAATCCTATGCCTCACAGAGAGAAGCAGTGAAAAAACGTGCCTGTCTTCTCATTGGCATTTGTGGAAGGAAATAACCCACCCAGAGGATTTATAGCTACTGTCCAGGTAACAGACTATCAGGAAGGTTAATTATCTTCCCTTTGAAAAGAGGAGAGAAGGCTGAGATCTGAACCCGTCTGTGATTGGCTCCCTTATACATTCACCAGCGCTTCATCTCTTTCCTCTTTTCTACTGTCCTGGGATAAAGATGTTTTTAATTGTAATAGATAGATTTTTACCTGGCAGATAAAACTTGAATACATCTAAAACATATAGATGCATACAGATCAACAAGGAAAAACTGACATCCTCTGTTATAGTAAAGATTTTAATTTGCCTCAGTTATTAGATCAAATACCAAAAAAAGGTCATTAAAGGTACATATTTAAATAGCTCAGTTAAGAAGCTCAATTTAATGAACTTAAGAAGACTACATCTAACATGAAAATGTACTCATTTCAGGCATATATGCAATATTCATGAAATTTGCCTGTGCTAAGCCATAAGGGCAGGGCTCAACAAATTTCAAAAGTCTGGTATCATCATGTAAGGATGCTGCAAAAGGACTTCAGCTGTGGGACTAACACTAAGAACCCGAACCTTCAGATCCATACAGTATGAAGGAAAGTGGAGTACCGAGGTAGTGTGAGTGAGGGGTTAGGGGGAAATCAAACTGGCAGGAGCCAGGTTAGAGCCAGGAACCAGTCAGAAGAAGCTGGGAATTATGGAAAGAACCTAAACTTTGAAGAATGATAAGATTTGGGAATACCTGGTATTATGACTCATGAGACATATGTCATAATAAATTACTTAACTTTTCCTAGTCTGCATTTATTAAGTACAGACTATATTACCTGTTTCACAGATTTAGAACAATTAAATACATTTGTTGAGTTCCTGACACGTAGAACCTGACACCTGGTATAGGGTATCTTGGCTTCTGTGATGACAAGTCAGGGCCCTTTCTAAGGAATGCTCCTGCAGACATGGGGCAGGTGCCCATGCGTAGGCGGGTAGGGGAAATCCCGGCACACAGTGCTTCAGCAGAGCTCACTGTGGTAGGCAGCGTCCACAGCTCTGGGTGGCCACATCCTTTTGTAGTCCCCTCCCGTGTTGTACCTAGGTCGGTCTGTGTGACTAGTGGCATATGGCGGAAGTGATGGTGAGTCGCTTCTAAGATCAGGTCATAAAAGGATTGCAGCTTAAGTTTTCGTGACTCTTGTGCACTTTCTTGGACCACTTGCTCTGGGAAAAGAGAGCTGCCATGTCATGAGGTCTCTCAGGAAGCCCGTGGAGGGGCCCAGCTGGTGAGGAAGTGAAGTCTCCAGCCAACAGCAAGAAACTGAGGTCTGCCAGCATCCATGTGATTGAGCTTGAAGTGAATACTTTCCTAGGCAAGGCTTCCTATGCCAGCAGCTTGACTGCAATCTCTTGAGAGACTTTGGGCTAGGTCAGTCAGCTCAGCCACTGCCAGAGTCTGAACCCTCAGGACCTGTGACATAATAAAACATTCGTTTTTCAAGCTGCTAAGTTTTGGAGTAATTTGTTACATAGCAGTGTATAACTAATATGTCCACCAAGGAAGTTAAAGTAAGTAAAAATTTGATCGGTTAATTAAAATATATTGGGGAACTTTTTCCCTAGGGCAGACAAAATAAATTTCATGTGAACTTAAGATTGTATTAAAAAGGATTGGAGCTCAGTCAGACTTACCACTGATTTACCTTTTCACGGCAGACAAAGAAACCTCTAAGCAGGAAAGCTTGAGGTCCTCACTAAAGTGCCGAGTCAGTGTTTTGGCGCTATGGTGGGTCTCTGTTCAACTTCCTGGGAGCATCAGTGATTTCCAAAGCTCACATAAAAGATTACTAGGAAAACCTGTCATAGAAATTCTGTAATAAATAAGATAAATAAAATAATAATAATAAAACCTGTAAAAATACAATTTAAAAAACCTGTAAATAAAAATTCATTTTACAAGTTGGGTTCATTAAACTTAGCAAGGGAGAGCATTGCTTGACAGGGTCTCAGTATCATCTCAAATGGGAGTTAGAGAAAGGAACTGTGAGGATTTGAGAGGCTAGGGTTAGCCAAGGGATGGTTGCATAGAAGAGGTTAGTAAGTGGGTCGGGGTAGCAATTGGTCAGAATTAGTAAACTAGGCTGGTTGCTACAACAGTATTGTCAGTGGTCTTATCTTTAGGGTTTGAGATATGTGATACTATTGAGCTCCTGTTACTGTAATCTTTTGGAATATACAGGTCTCTTTATGAGCAAGTGTTAAAACAGTTTGAGCTAAGATAATCTGTATGATGTGGTTTAGTACATTTTATATATTTCTGAGAAATAGTGCAGTTTTTCAAGTTGCGGTTTTATTTCCCAACAGAGAACCATCCAATTTGTCTAGGTAGAGAGTGATAGACCTGATAGGAATTTATTGCAAGAGATCAAATAATTGTTGAGACTTAAGCTTCCCCCTATGTTGGAATGACAAGAACTAGACTGAACATCCCTCTATAAACAAGTGAGGAAATGAGGAATTACTGCATTCAGAACAGACAGTGTGCAGACTGATCCCTGAGAGAAGGGAAACAAATGAGGTTATCCCTACAGTCACCCCAACTTTCTGCAGGAAAGTAATTTTTAGACCACAAATATAAGGCAGAACCCTAATAGAACCTGGCAGTCTTGCTAAGTTAGGAGGGAGATTGGAATTCCGAGAGACTGAGTCAGCTGGGATTTGTGGGGGAGACGCACATGGGGGCCGAGAAGAAAAGGGCTCCAGAAACCTTCTGTGGGGTCTCCTTGAGGCTTTGCTGAATATTAAGCCACATTCTAGAAGAAGAGGCAAGAAATGGCAGGGAGTTATAATTCGAACAACAGCCACAGGTCTCAGAAGGTGAGGAAATATTCTAACTGACTAGCAGAGGACAGGCCTCAGGATTTAAATGGTGACCCTACAGGGGTCATACTTTAGTAGTAAGGTTGAACTGTCCCTCGAGGGAAGTCTACTGTAAACCTCCCCTAGCAAAGTGTTAAGACAGGCCTTAATGAGACCAAGATGATCTAGAAGTTACTGCCTGCAAAAGAAAGCACAGCACTCCTTAAAGGGAGACAGTAAACCACTCAACAATATAACAGCAATAGTGTCCCATCTCCAGTAAAAAATTACTAGACATGCCAAGACACAGGAAAATGTGAACCATAACAAAAAAAAATTAGTGATAGACCCAGAAATAACTACATGATTGAAATAACTCAGAATAATAAACCACTATTAAACTGAGTACAAATATTTAAAAGGAAACATGAACATATTTTTAAAAAATCAAAGTGACCTGTAAGAGGTGAGAAATGCAATATCTGTTTCAGGGAGTCCCATTATCATTACCTGATTTGGTGATTTGCTGAAAGGACTCATATGCTTCAACATAAAGTTACTCATGTCTAAGGCTTGTTATAACAACGGATAAAGTGCAGGAACAGAAAACAACAAACTTTTTTTTGAAAAGGCAGATGTTAGGGAGGTCATGCACAGGCTTCCAAGTTCTCCGTCCCTCTGTGAGAGTCATAGAGATGGACTTTTCTCTCCAACTGTGAATTGCAAAGACACATGCGACATGTTTCCACCAGGGAAGCTCATTCAAGTCTTGTTGGAGTTCAGAGTTCTTAAAGGAGACTAGTCGTATAGCCATATGAACAGTCATGGTATGGTCCCCAAATCAGGCCCCAAGTGCACATTGTAGATCTTCATGTTTACTTGAAACATCTAGAGCCTCGTTCATTTTGAGCCACTGCTTCAGGCATATATCAGAACATGATTAAGCAGTAGCTATGTGAATATTCCAGGAATTCAGTTTTCAGGGCTTTACCAGAGATCACTGCCCTGACCACAGAAGTAAAATAGACCTGCTTCACTGATTGTTCCCTCACAATACCAGAAAAGAACATTTCATTGGATAGGAGCATTAGACACAGTAGAAGAAAAAAAGTAATGAATTAAAGATACAGCAATAAATACCCAAAGTGAAGGACAGAAAAGAGACTGGAAAATCATAACTGGCTCTTCATGGCTGTGATAGTTTTCTCAGAATTTCCTTGGTTTTCATGACCTTGAAAGCTTTGAGGAGTACTGGCCAGATATTTTGTAGGCTATGCCTTAACTGTAATTTGTGTTTTTCTTATTATGTTTTTTTGCTTACTTAGGAAATGCAAATAAAAACAACTAAGGTACCAATTCACACCCATTAGGACAACTATTACCAAAAAAAAAAGGAGAATAACACCCTTGTGTACTGCTGATGGGAATATAAAATGGTATAGCCATTGTGGAGAACAACCTGGAAGTGTCTCAAATGGTTAAACGTGGAGTTACCATATGATCCAGCAATTCCACTCCTACGTACATACTCCAAAGAACTGGAAGCAGAGACTCAAACTGATACTTGAACACAATGTTCATAGAAACATCACAATAGCCAAAAGGTGGAAACAACTCCAATATCCATCAACAGGTGAATGGATAAGCAAAATGTGATATATCCACACAATGGAATATTAGGCATAAAAAGACTGAAATTCTGATACATGTTACAACATGGATAACCTAAAAAATGTTGTGCTAAAACAAGCCAGACACAAAGGGACAAATAATGTATGATTACACTTATATGAAGAATTAAAATAGGCAAATTCCTAGAGACAGGAAGTATAATAGAGGCCACCAGGTGCTGGAGAGGAGGTTTGGGGATTCATTGTTTAACAGGTACGGGGGTCTATTTGGGATGAGGAAAAAGTTCTATAATGGTTGCATAGCATTCTAAATGTTCTTAATGTCACTGAATTGTACACTTAAAAATGATTACAATGGTAAAAGAAACAAAACCAGTCAAAGCCCTATATTCCTGTATAAACTCTTTTAATACATTCCAGACTTCCAGTTGATTCAAATTTTGTATCTCTGGTTCAGTTTTTGTTTCTTCCCCTGTATTCAGGCTCATTGGTTCATTTGCTTGTTTGCTCACTCCTTCCTCCCTCTGCCCTGCCCCCGCCCTCCTTCCCGCCCTCTCTCCCTCTCCTTAACGGTGGTTACTGGGTATACTTCTGGGATGGGGTACTCTGTCCTGCTCACATATATACATTTCTTCTTCTAAAGAGCCTCGAACAAGCGTCATTAGGGTTGGGGGCCTCCTACATGTCATGATGGCATTAGCCCTTTGGATGGGCCACTGGGATGCCATTGTGAATTTTTCTTATGATTCTGAGGTTTAGGACCCTCTTTGGTGACACAGGCATGGGAGCAGGAGTGAGAGCAGCAGAGGTGTTCATGGTGTGCGTGTGGCTCAGCGTGACACACAGAAGCTGCTCTTCCCAAACACGGCCAGTGGGCCCACCCCTGCGAGGGGCACCGGTGCCAGTGAGCACGCTGTGAAAGGCAGCCACTGCTTGAGGCACACAGGCAGTGGTCCCAGGCTAGAAACCATTCTCCTGCACGAGCCAGGGTTGCATGGTTTGAGCTTCCCACTGGAAACAAAGAAAATGCCTGTGCTTTCTTATCAGCATCCCCACGTACAGGCACAAGGGAAAGACAGGGGTGATGCTGAGAAGCCATCAGCAAACATCAAAAAATGGAGTCAGACTTTACTACAATTAGTGTATTTTGGACCATTCACATTTTTAGTGATTATTTATTACTTAGATTAATAGCTACCAGTTTATAACTTTTACTTTTGTCACATTCATTCTGTTTCTCTTAGCCTATTTTGTTTTCTCTAGTTTTAATTGAGCATTTTATAGGATTCCATTTTATTTTCTCTTCACTTAGTAATAATTCTTTATAATAATAATAATGTAATAACAATACTTTCTTTTTGAAATTTACTGCTTGCCCTAGAGTTTCTAGTATAGATTTTTAACTTTCAGATAACACTATACCACTTCAGACATTGTTTGAGACGGTCTTTATCTCTCCTTCATATTTGAAGGATTATCTCAATAGATGTGGAATTTTTGGTTGATGGGTTTTTCAACATGTAAGATAATTTCACTTCACTCTCTTCTTTTATGGTTTCCAACAAAAAGTCTATTGTAATTTTTATACTCGTTCCTCTTTAGGTTAAGGATTCCCCCTACCAACCCACCCCCGCCCCTCCTACCTCTGGCTTCTTTCAAGATGTTCTCTTTGTATTTGATTTCCTACAATTTGAATACAATTTGCCAAAGTGCAGTTTTGGGGGATTGCTTATACTCCTTGGTGTTATCTGAGCTTCCCCGATCTGTGGCTCAGTGTCTGTAATTAATTCTGGAAACTTCTCAGTTATTATTACTGCAAATATTTCTTTAGCTCCATTCTCTCCTTTCTTTCTGGTATTTAAATTAAATGTTACACCTTTTGAAACTGTCCCACAGTTCTTGGATGTTCTATGTGGGTTTTTTTTTTTCTCAATCTTTTTTCTCTGGGCATCTCAGTTTAGGACATTTCTATCAACCTATCTTCAAGCTTATCAATTCTTTCCTTGGCCAT